CACAAAAAAATATCTGAAAGTATCATTTTCTCCAAGAAACGTGATTCTTCCACCTTGGTCCTACTTTTTTTTTTTTTCCTTCAATTATTTACACAAAACAACTAACCACCACCCCTCCCCCCCCCCCCCCCCCCCCAAAAAAAAAAAAAATTTATAAATATTCTGGGTCAGTTCTTACATTGATATGAAAGCATACTGATATAAACAGAGACATGATAATTTATATTAGCTGTAAAATTTTCTCTTATTAAACTCGGTTGCTGCCAGACTGTTTTGTATAAACAGCTCTATAAACAGATGTCTGTTAATCCAGCATTGTAACATGAAAGAAGTACCAGCATTACTTCAAACTCAAAACTTCAAGAACAAGAAAATCTCAGAAATGAGTGGAATATTTATCCAGTATCTTCCAAGTGAACACCATAAGAAAATATTTTGGAATAAACATATTTAAACCATAAATCCTGATGAATTACCACAGAGGATTTTTCATGGAAGAGAGCTGCAAGAGGTGGGGCTTTTTTGCTGTTGGCAAGCAAATCCAACCGAAGAGCTGCTAAGGCGACATTTAAGAAAGGTTGTACTTGAGTCACAAACAAGAATTTTAACCAATGCCCTAGCAGTCATTAACTAAGTTTGCACATCTGATAGCTTTACCATATAGATTGGAGCACTGCATTAAACAACATACATTTACGCAGCAATTGCTGCCATCAGGAGTTCAGTTTTTGGTTTGTTTCAGAAAGCCAACGACCTGGAAACGTAAAGGTACTCCCACCCTGGAAGATGCAACTGTTCCCTGTAATCATACCCAGTAGATGGGTGCTGGGCCCATACCAGGCATTAACCTCAGAGCATCCCTCAAAAGACATAACAGAAGCTTAAGACAACATTAGAAAAGACTCCTCAGTTAAAGCAAACTGAAGCATATGGTAAGAGTTTAAACCTAAAACCTAAACCTAAGCGCATCTCAACTGCCAAGGCATAAGCCAGCTTCACTTTTTGCACATTCAGCACAATACAGAGCCAGTCCTCTAATAAGGAATGGATGTAGCAGATCCAGTTCCGTTGTCCATTTTCAGGTTTATCTTGAACCACAACAAATAGCAAATGCAGCCAGCAAAACAAAATCCAAACTGAGGCAAGTAAAACCAGGCACTGCCAGGACAAATTTTTCTACTACTTGCTAACCTGTCATAACATTTCCACTACAGCACTAGTAACCAGCTTGTCCTGGAGAAAAGGGAGGCTGAGGGGAGACCTTATCGCCCTCTACAACGACCTGAAAGGAGGCTGTAGCAAGGTGAGTGTTGGTCTCTTCTCCCAGGTGATAGGACAAGAGGAAGCAGCCTCAAGTTGTGCCAGGAGAGGTTTTGATTGGATATTGGGAGCAATTTCTTCACCAAAAGGGTTGTCAAGCATGGGAACGGGCTGCCCAGGGAAGTGGTCGAGTCTCTGTCCCTGGAGGTATTTAAAAGATGGGTAGACGAGGTGCTTAGGGACATGGTTTAGTGGTGGGATGGCAGGGTTATGTTAGCAGTTAGACTTGATGATCTTAAAGGTCTTTTCCAACCTAAACGATTCTAAAAGTTACAGGCTAAAAATCTGCAAAACCAAAGATGTGTTCACTCAGAATACTCACAGCACCAAATAAAACAGAGCTTCAGGGTCCTGCAGCAGCACACAAGGCCTATGGCTCTTCACTGTAATGTAGGATAGGAAACAGGTGGCCAAGGTTAGGGATAACCTAGGTCCCACAGCAATTTGGCTTGAGCAATCCCATTTGTTCATTCCTCAGGCAGCTGGGGATGCAATTACCGAGTGGAGTTCATGCAGGCCCACCAGCAATTGCATTGACAGCCCCTCTGCATTGACTCTTCAGTGAGTACTGTGGCTTGCCCGGCTGTAAAGACAACTAGGAAACACCATACTCTGTTTCTGCTCTGCGATACACCTAACCTTGTAAAACCTTCACAAAGCTTCATCTGCTCCCCTGGTCCTTTTTCCTCCCAGAGGTTTGCTGTGCTAAAATGGCGTCTTTAATTTTCTGATGCTTAGCTCAGTTTTTAATCATTCTTGCATCTCTTGATTCTCTGACCTTTGCTTCTGCTTGCTCCTGTTCTCCCTTGAAGGTGCCCTAGGGATCTCTGGGGCCTGAGAGACCTGTTGTGTGATATGGGTCTCACACACTCCTTAAAAGCTAGTTCTACCCTGGAAGCAGCAGCGTGAACAGGCTAGTTCACCGTCCAAGCCCACATGGACATGGTTCTCCCCTCCCTGAGAGTTCTGGTTGAACGTTTTCCACCCATTTTTCCAGACTGAGGCATTAGTAATTCACTTAACATAAACCAGTGAAGAGTATACCTCACTGAGTAGCATAGACAGTACTTGCAGTCTTTAACCAAATGTGGAAGATGACCTACAGGTAGTAGTAAACTAAATAGATGATCCTTCCCGAGCAGTTGCATTGGTACATCAATGTGGACTGGTGCTGTAATCACACTAGCTTTATAAATATTGTATTGCATTATAATTATTTTAGCAAAATAGTGAGCTACAAGACTGGTATTTTTGCCAGTAACTGTGTGGAAATAAGAGATAATCTGCCACTATTCAGCAGTGACATAAACTGAAGCATCCAGCACCCTTGTGCCTTCAGTCTTACTTAAAACAGATTACAGTTGGTGCTAACACAACTGTGAACACTGGCATAGGAATGAGAGCTAATACTGAGAAATAACTTGCCTATTAAAGCATATCTGCAAGGAACCCTATTTTGGTTTTGCCAATTCTTTGTTTATCAGCAATTTTCTGGCATGGGGTATATTCCAGGAATATAGAAGTTCTTGTGATCTTTAAGAAGAAGGGAAACAGATACAGGGAAATGAAAAATGTCCAATTTAATTCAAGTTATTTCAAAAACATGTGAACAAATTACTCTTCCTTGTCTGAATCAATAGAATAATGGCTAGGTAAGTAACAGTCAAGAAGAAATTGTCTCTGACCTGGATATTAGAGAGAAAACTGGCTTGCTTTCTTTCCAATATCAGGCATTAGGGTGGTACACATCATGTATGTTGACTTGAACAACTGTATCAGATGTTACTTAAAAGCTGGGAGAACTCAGTCCAAATAAGACCGCTGTAAGACAGAGGGAAATGGTACTCAAGGGAGTAATCAATTGTTCCCCGTCAGAATGCAAAGAAATATTCTATTAGATTCAAGACGTAAGTAAAGGCAAGTATCATACCACACTTTTGTAAATGATATACAGTAATTAGAGAGTATGCTTATTAAATTTGCAGATGACATCTGGCTGGAAAATGCCACCAACTTGTTGGAGGACAGGGTTAACGTACAGAGAGAAGTTAGAGAAATGCCTTAAGGGGGAAAAAAACTGTTAAACACCAAGTTCTGACACTTGGGTAGTAATAAACAACACAGGACAGGGAAAAAGCAGGCTAAGTAACAGTTCTAATATCAATTTGGATAAGTAGCAGACAAAGAAGGGTGGAAGGCAGAAAGGAGAAACTACGATTGCAATCTGAACATGTTAACAGTATCAAGCTGTGGTGGCAAAAAGTGTCACACTATGATGTGCAACGACAAACAGAGCTTGCAAATTGGATGATGAAAAAAACCAACCCAAACCACCTACTGCTGCTTCTCTCAGTTTTTGTAAGACTGGAGTCTGACTGCCATGTCTAGTTTTTCTAGACAGATCTAGTCCACTTAGTGAGAGTTTAGGAAAGCGCAAGAAAAATGATGAGCACGTTACAAACAAGGGAAGACTGCTGGAGCCGGGGCTGTCTAAAGAATAAAAGACTGAGGGGAGGTGCAGACAACATGGCTTTGCACATAGAAACATCAGCTGCCCTGAGTAAGAAAACAAACAGTTCTCCACGTTAGTGGTAGTCATGCAACAGTGGACATAACATTCCCCATAGGGAATGTCCTTTGGATATTAAGGCTTTCTAGCAAGACAGGTAGTTAGAAGCTGGTTAGTTTGCCTAAAAATATTGTGAAACCTACTTCTCTTTTTTTTTTTTTTTAAAGAAACAAGTGGGACAATAACTGTCAGAAGTGATTTACATAGAGCTGACCTTGTTTGGGGTAGTGTTAGCACAGTGCTTCAATGTAATAAATATTGCCATACATAACTTTTAAGATTTGAATATGCTACATAGAAAAGAATTCAGAAAATGCCCAGAGTTATTTGGAAATGAACTTTGAACCACATACTTAGCTCATATTGCAGCACCACAAGTTACAGAAATGTAATGTTTACTCGCAAAGAGCCATACAACTGAAAAAAACCCCCAAACTTCCCCAACTATTTGCATGCAGGCCATGATTTCTACATAATATTCTTGCAACTAAACAAACAGTTTGGCAGCAAACTCAAGTAATTTATTTTACAGCACCTTTTTTTTTTTTTCCTTATTTCCTTCAAATTTCTGAAGTGATTGGAAGATAAAATTTTTTATGTAAACTGATGACTTTAAAGAATAATGCTTCTAAATAAAAAAAATGCTTCACATCTTCATGTGTATCAGTTCCATAAAGAATACACCAAAACATATTTTACATTCAGGTCAATAAAACAGAATGTTACAATAAAATGAATCATCTTGCAAATACATACAGTATTAGTGACAGAATTAAAATCCATTTATCCACCATCACAACAGTGAACTGCAATTTATGTCTAGTATCTGAACCAGGAAAAAATAATTAGTAACTATAAAATCATTTAGCTTTATAAAGTAAAATCCTTTAATATCCTTACTGTTCCAAGAAATGCAGAAACAAACGTGTCCAGATTTCCTTTCACGCCAAACGGGGAACATTTAGCAAAGGTTTTCTTTTTCACTTGCCTGAAGCAAGTTAGGATAAACATTGGAAATACATTTTGAAAATTATTATGTATTGCGATACACCAATATTGTCTTTCTGATTACATTAAACAGTAGCACCATCTACTGGTCCAGAAAATCCTTTCAAACTTTAGAAAAAGCTGTGGAGAGTGATCCGGCCAAAATGATGCAAAACGCTACTGAGAGTAACATGTAGTTTTTCAGTCCCTGGATAGCCAAAGGGAGAGAAAAAGAAAAATATCATGTTGTCATAAGAGGTACTGCTTCACCAAAAAAAAAAAAAAAAAAAAAAAAATTAAAGAACTAGGGTTTTTCATTTTATAACAAAATTAATAAATCCATTTATACCATTTTACATCATATAATGTTTGTAACACATTAACACAATTGTTCAAAACAATTTAATATAAGTAATCTATGATGCCATATACTTAGTAAAATATTCACAAAATTAATTCAGCAATTTTAAAGTATTTTTAAAGGCTTTGTCTGCTTTCAGATTATTTTTAAGCAGAAAGCACTTATGCAGAGACTATTCTAAAATGCATGAATAGAATGAAAGATTTAGTGAGTCACACACATTTGGATATTGAATACGATTGGCTTCTAGTGTGGTGCAACATTAATGTGCAGTGGGAGAGAGAGAGAACTTCTAGTTCCTGACCCAAGGATGCCTAATGCATTTTACATAGTCACCAAAAAT